AAAAAAAAAAGAATCTCAAGGGTTTTTCTACCTAGTATGGCTTCAAACCATGATCCCAACCTCTTGAGTAGCTAGGATTACAGATCTGAGCTACCAGCTCCTGGGATCATTAATTTTACTTTCACATTCATATTTGTTAAAGGCCAAAGGATGTATTAAGACTATATCAGTAAGTTCTGTTGTCTTGTTCAATTTGTCAAAGATCAAAACTGTGAATGTCTTGTCAATGTGTTGTATCCTGGGACATTTTGTGGTTACTGCTTTTTCCAAACAAAGTAAAAGGGACTAGGAATATGGCTTAGTGGTAGGGTGCTTGCCTAGGATGCATGAAGCCCTGGGTTTAGTTCCTCGGTACCTAATAAACAGAAAAGGCCAGAAGTGGTGCTGTGGCTCAAGTGGTAGAGTGCTAGCCTTGAGCAAAAGAAGCTCAGGGACAGTGCCCAGGCACTGAATCCAAGCCCCAGGACTGAAAGAAAAAGAAAAGAAAAGGAGGGAGGGAGGGAGATAGGAAAGGAAGGAAGGAAGGAAGGGAGGGAGGGAGGAAGGAAGAGGGAGATGGGAGAGAGGGAAGGAAAAGAGGGAAGGAGGGAAAAAAGGTGAAAGTTGGCATGATAGTTTTGCAGCCAGTAATGGGCTTGAGTTTAAACAGAAAATCAGAGCCAGGCGCTGGTGGTTCAGGCCTGTAATCCTAGCTACTCAGGAGGCTGCTATCTGAGGATCGAGGTTCAAAGCCAGCCCGGGCAGGAGAGACCGTGAGACTCCTATCTCCAATAAACCACCAGAAAGCCGGAAGTGGCGCTGTAGCTCAAGTGGTAGAGCGCTCGCCTTCAGCTGAAGAGCTGAGGGACAGTGCCCAGGCCCAGAGTTCAAGCCCTGTGACCGACAAAAAAAAAAAGAAAATCAGTAAGATAGTAACTATCTTTGTCCTGTCCTAGTCTCTATACTGGCCCACCAACCCCACAAATATAAATGGAATTTTACAGTGATAATGATGTTAGTATTTGTCAGCATACATTTGAGGAGTGGTATAGTATTGGTGAATGATCAGTTCTAAAACAAAAAAAAAATAATGATTCCTCTGCAGATATAAATGTGTGCATGTCAAAAAATGAGACAGAGGATGCTGCAACCACTTCCCAGAGGTCAAAAAACCACCAGTTTCTATGCAAAAAAAAAGGAACAGCAAGTCACAGTTGCAGAAACTGGACTGTGTTGGTTGATCTTGTAGCTGGATTCAACAAACTTGCATTACTTTGGCTAACAACTATTTATAATTCTATCTATTAGTTAACTTCTGTCTTCATAGAATTGTAAAATAACTTAGTCAAAGACAGATGCATATATATAGACTTAGATAGATAGATAGATATGCATATAAAGTGAAGATACACACATCAAATTCAATTGTGAAATATATACTTGAGCACTTATGTGTAAGGCACTATTTGAAGCTAGGCTCTGGAAAAGTAAATGAATAAAAGTAAAAGAAATTAGATAGAAAGGTATCATGGAACCAGATAATTGATGGAGGTCCTAACATTTATTCCTTTGGCAGACTAGCAAATAATACTTTTTTTTTTTTTTTGTCCGTCATGGGGCTTGAACTCTGGGCCTGGGTGCTGTCCCTCAGCTCTTCAGCTCAAGGCGAGCGCTCTACCATTTGAGCTACAGAGCCACTTCTGGTTTTATGGTGGTTTATTGGAGATAGGAGTCTCACGGTCTCTCCTGCCCGGGCTGGCTTTGAACCTCGATCCTCAGATCTCAGCCTTCTGAGTAGCTAGGATTACAGGCGTGAGCCACCAGCGCCCGGCTGCAAATAATACTTTTATCACTTAAGTCTCATATGTTTTTCCTCACAGTAGCAATTATTCATTCATTAAAAAAGAGGGCTGGGAAGGTGGCTCAGTGGTAGAGCGCTTGCCTTTCATGCATGAGGCCCTGGGTTCAATTCCTCAGCACCACATAAGCAGGGGGAAAAAAAGCCGGAAGTGGCGCTGTGGCTCAAATGGTAGAGCTCTAGCCTTGAGCTGAAGAGCAGGCCCACAAACGGACCCCCCCCCCAAAAAAAAAAAAGAAAATGAAGCTGCAGGTGTGGCTTAAGTCTTGGATCCTGAGGTCTTCTCCACTTTAGTTTCATGTGAATTTCCATTTCTGCTTCACAGTGACAGCCCATACAGTGAGCATGGTACACTGGAGGAAGTCGACCAGGATGCTGGCACAGAACCCCACACCAGTGAGGATGGTAAGGCTTTGGCTTATGCTGCTGGAAACCCTACTTTCTATCATTTCTTCCTTAACAATTAAATTCCTAGGGCTTCTTATTTTGGTTTAGTTTGGTTTGGCTTGGCATTAGTTTTCTTTTTTTTTGTTTGTTTGTGAGCGTACACTCTCTATATAAGAATTCTTGGTGGGCCTTTATTAGGTATATGTTTTGCAAATATCTTCTGCACTGAAGTTTTGCTTTAATTTAATTTTAATTTTTTTATTTTGTTAGTGTGTGTGTGTGTGTGTGTGTGTGTGTGTGTGTGTGTGTGTGGACTTGGGTTTGAACCCAAGACATGGGCACTGTCCCTTAACTTTTGTGCTCAAAGCTGAAGTCCTACCACTTGAGCCATACTTCTTCGTGCTATTTGGTGGTTAGTTGGAAATAGGAGTCTCGTGGACTTCCTACTCAGCTTAGTTTTGAACCTTGATCCTCAGATCTCAGCCTGCTGAGTAACCGGGTTATAGGTGTAAACCACTAGTGTCCAACTTCCATCTTTTCTTCTGTCTTGGGTTTCTTTGTTTCTCTGTATGGTTCATTTCTTTTTCTCTTTGGACTTCACTGTTCTTTTGCTTTCTTCATTGGCAGGAACAGCCAAGGCAAAGGCCCGGCCATTTCTCTTCCCAAATATCAGTATCTCCACCATGACATCTGTCAGTTATTTTTACCTCCTGACTATTAAGAGAGTAGCTTTGAGGGCTCTGTGTTTTAGGTATCATTTTGACCATGTTTACCTGATTTTGCAAGAAAGAGAAGGACAAATATTCTCACCCAGAGCCAACCTCCAAAATCCTAGATTAACTAGAATAAACTAGTCTAAATGAACTAGAATATTGATTACCTTTTTGATTGATAGGTATTGGTAGTTCTTTTGTTTCATTTTGTTTTCTCTGACAGAATACCACTTGAGAGTGACCTTTGTCTTCAAGGTTGGTGGTCATAGAATATCATTCTCTGTAAGGGAAATAGGTAACAGATCTAGAAAGAAAAGTAAAGTCCCCCAAAGAAAGTATGATGTTAGTATTTCATAGTAAAATTGCAGGAAATGGAAATGTAAGACTTAATAGAAATGTAAAGACTTAATAGCACCAGGTAGCCTGGTTATCAGGTTTGCTGATTTTTTTCCCCTTTGCACAAAATTGTAATAAGCCATGTTGGAAAATTAAGGACTGCCTTTACTACCGTTACAATTTACACTTGCAGATTCAGCATTCTGTAGGACCTTAAAGGACAGCATGATGCTCTTGTCTGTGAAAAAACTCTTGTGTGCCATGCCCTAGGATTGATTTGCCATATAATGCCTGGACTAAGCTGTGTGTAAATAGCTTATTGATTGACACTTGACTATGAAATGGGTCTCAAGAGAGTAGAAAGAGTCAAACTAATGAAACTGCTCAGAATTACTAGTTTATGTAGTAGGATTACCAATGAAATATTTTTTGATTCATCTGGCTGTTTTATTCATAACTGATCCACATTTCCATAAGAGAATCTGATCTTCCTATTGCTTGTTTTGAAAAGTAGTAATAAAAAGAAGAGATTATCTGAGGTCATAATTATGAAATTGCGATGACATATGTATATGTCTGTTAAGTTACCTTACATAGACTTTGACCAGCATCAATAGTGTATCACGGAATGCCACTAAAGACCATTAATATTGATCGCATTTCTCCATGGCATAATGTATAGAGACTGTAGGTCCTTGGGTGTAACAAGTATTTTTACTTTTTTTAGTAAAACCAAAAATGTATGTGTGTGTTCACACAGGAATTTGCAAATTATACATCATGGAGTTTTTTTTAATGAATTAGCATGTCATTTCCCTGTTCATGTTTACTTCTGTCCTCCAGGGGAAACTGAAGTACAAATTTTGGTATCTTTCCTCTCAGATTAACCAGAACTCCTTCTTTATCTACAAGTTTAGAACAAACAAAAAGTCATTGTGTTTAAATGTAATATTGTATCTCCTTCTTTATGAGGTAAACTGGTACATATTTAATGAAGCTGTTACTATATTATTTTAATAAGATTTTATTAAATTTTATTAAATATGAGAATTTATTAAATGTGAGAATACTGTTAACACATTTTAGCAAATAATAGTTGTTGGAAGACAAACTTGTTTTACATGCAAATTATAGTGTGGTACTATGAAGTAGCTAAAAGATAACACATTTTTCTTTGTTTTGAAAATGTTTTGCTAAAATTTACATGGGCCCTTCATCCAAGGTAAAACGTAAACTTTCTTGATATTGAGTTTTGTGCTTTTACTTTATGTATCTCAAGGTTTCTGTGTGTGTGTGTGTGTGTGTGTGTGTGTGTGTGTGTGTGTGTGTATACCAGTATGGGGTTTGAACTCAGGGGCTTGAGCTCTTGCTTGGCATTTTCACTCAAGGCTGGAGCTCATGTAGTAAGCTTAACTTCCAGCTTTTTGCTAATTAATTAGAAATGAGTGTCTTGGGTTTGTCTGCCCTGGCTGGCATTGAACCATATTCCTCAGATTCTTGAGTAGCTACAATGGCAGGCATGCGTCACTGTGTCTGGGAATTTTGAGGAGGGAATGAGTAGGAGATTTCCCTGCTCTTAGGAAATTTTGATTTATTAAGTGAGAAACAAAAAGCCTAGCTATCTTTATCTAAAATTTTCTTATTCTTATATATACAAACAACAGGTATTACGGTAAAGTTTTTGAAAAATCACCTCTTTTAAGTGGGAAAATTTGTTACTAAGGGAAATAGAAAACAAGTGTCAGAGAGACAGGAAAAATCTGATCTGTAATTTGTACACATATGTGTTTTGAAATTAATATACTCAGTGTTTAGGGAATAAGGTTTTGCTCATTGTGCAGACAGATCTATATAAATATATGTCCCTTTTTAGTGTGTGTGTGTGTGTGTGTGTGTGTGTGTGTGTGCATGCCTGCCCATCCAGAGGCTTGAACTCAAGCATTGGGTATTGTCCCTGAGCTTTTTGTGCTCAAGGCTAGTGCTCTATCATGTGAGCCACACTTTTGCCTTTCTTTTCCTTTTAGTTGTTAATTAAAGGTAGGGGTCTCACAGACATTCCTACTCAAGCTGGTTTTTGAAACACAACCCTTAGATCTTAGCCTCCTGGATGGTTAAGATTATAAGCATGAGCCACAGGTGCCTGCTTCCCCCTTGCTCTTTTTATTTCTGTTCATTACTGAGTAGAAGTTTTACTCCCCTGTATTGATGTCAGGGATAAAGACGAGATGAAAGACTATAAGCCCTGCATTGAGGATATTTTTGCAATAAATTGGATCGTGAAAAGCCAGTCCCATAGTGATTTAGCTTGTCCTCTTGTTGTCCTTCAATATTTGGTTGAATTTCAGCTCAATTCCAGTTTTAGGTCAAGAGTTCAGGGCTTTTTTTTTTAATGTTTTATTTTAAGATCATGGTAGACTTACGTGCAGTTATAAGAATACAGAGAGATCTTGTCTACTGTCTCCCTATTTCTCTCAGTGGTAATCATACTTCACTGTGCTGTATCACAATCAGGAAATTGGTACTCATACAACTCATCCACCATATTCACATTTCAACAGTTTTACATGCATTCATGTATGTGTGTTTGTGGCGGGGGGGGCTTGCTTAATTCTCTATAGTTTTGTCATGTGGACAGATTTCTGTGACCACAGTCCTAGTCAAGATAAAAGAATAGTTCCATTGCCAGAGTTCCTATGCTGCCCGTATAGCCACAGCCACTCCCTCTATTACCTCCCCACCAACCCACTGACAATTACTCATCTATTCTCCATGTCTCTAATTAGGCCATTTAAAGAACACCACGTAGATGGAATTATATATAGCACGCAACCTTCTAAGACTTTTTTTCACTCAATATCTTTTCTCCTTTTAACATTTTTTGTTTTACTTACTTTATTTTTTATTACTTTTAAGTAATTGTACAAAAGAGTTTCAATTCAACATGTTAGCACATTATCCTTTCATCTCTAGAAAATAGGATTTTTTGAATCTGATATTTTAATAATGAAGATCTAAAATTTGTACTAATGTGAGAGAAAAAGTTATTACTTTGGGTGACCATTTGAAGATCTGACAATTCCAAAAAAAAAGCTTATGAGGAAATTAAAAATATTCAAATAGGATTTATAGTTCTGACTTCACTTGACTTTAATATAGTTGGACACTAGTGGTTCATACCTATAATCCAAGCTACTCAGGAAGTGAGATCCGAGAATCGTGGTGCGAAGCCAACATGGACAGAAAAGTTTGTGATACTCATCACCCATTAACTACCAAAACTCAGAAACAAAAAGCCAGACGTGGAGCTGTGGCTCAAGTAGTAAAGTAGTAAAGTATAGCCTTGGGTGAAAAAGCTAAGGGACAGTGTTCCTCAGTCCTAAGTTCAAGCACCAAAAAATAAATACTAAATTGGCATTTTCATTTCTTAAGAAGCCTCATGTAGACCTTTCCAAGTGTGTTTGATGCCTTCCTAACAGCCCTGCCCTTGTCCTGGTGTGTTCATTGTAGAGTGTGAGCCAATCGAAGCAATAGCCAAGTTTGACTATGTGGGCCGGTCCGCCAGAGAACTGTCCTTCAAGAAGGGAGCTTCGCTGCTGCTGTATCACCGCGCATCTGAGGACTGGTGGGAAGGCAGGCACAACGGCATCGATGGGTTGGTGCCTCACCAGTACATAGTGGTACAGGATATGTGAGTAGTTCCAGCTTCTGTTACCTTAGGACACCAGCTCTTGTTCCTAACTTTAGTTTTAGAGAGAGAAAAAAAAGGAACAGAGAAAAAGCATAGTTGTTCACCTTCCTAGTGATTCTGCCGCTAACAGAACTTTAGGACCCAGCCCACAGGTATTCATGCCCCACCCTTGATCAAGAGGCTTGCTTAGAGCCACCAGCTGTGGAAGACATGTTTTGAAACTTTTGGGTTCTTAGAAAAATAACATCTGCAGAGAAGGGACTTGGAAAGCTGAAGTGACATTGGTGATTCCCAAAACAGCTGTGTTGTCTTTCCATGTCTGCTACTTTTTGTAATCCCAGATTCCCAAGATGGGGAGTAAGTGATTTACAGCCTAAGCGAAATCACCTCTGGGAGATGGTGGATTGCTGCAAGGAAGTTCTGATTTCAAAAATATTTAAAGATATGGGAAGATGGGCATAAGAAGCAACAGAAATGGTTATAAAGTAATATATACAGTATATATCCAATATAATCTATATTTTCTAATGATATTACACAACCTATTACCAATGGAAGAGAGCTTTTCAGTGGGAAGAAAATATGTTACATAAAATGTATACAATAACTTCAGTGATTTAGCAGAATCTTAGAAGTATTAAAATATATAGGTGAGGGGCTGGGAAGGTGGCTCAGTGGTAGAGCGCTTGCCTTGCATGCCTGAGGCCCTGGGTTCAATTCCTCAGCACCACATAAGCA